CCCCAAAACCCCAAAACCCCAAAACCCCAAAACCCCAAAACCCCTAATCCTGTATACAGAATTGAAAGAAAACTCAGGAATCTCTGTTTCTTCAACACTTGCTTTTTCTCCTTGTATTAATATCTTATGAAAGCGTCTTGACCAGGGATTCAGAGCTAACTAATTCACTCCATGGACTTTGAAGCTCTAAGAGGACTAACATAGTTCTTGTGACTGGCAATATTTTTAAAACCGCTAAAATTTGATTTCAGAAGAAATATAACTAGCACTAATTTTTTATCTAAAACTTTTAGCTATCAGCCAAAGTACACTTCTCTCTTAGATTTATTGAAACTGTAGAACAGATATAGATTTTCCAATTAATAATTTCTGAATTTTCTCAACATTAGAGCTCTAGGATTTCTGGAAGTAAATTTTTATTGGCTAAAATTCATCTCTGAAATTCAGTTTTAAGATCTTCTAAACCCAATCTATAAACTAGAAGGGGTTTTAAAATATTATTTTAGGTGTAATAACCCCTAGGTAAGCTAACATCTGAAAAAGTTATATTTTTGGTCTTTAATAATTTCTAACAATCCTCCCATAATTAATAAACCCTCACTCCCAAATATTTACTAATTCTTCAGCATAAAACGCTCGCTAATGGCATCTTGGTCAGATTCTAGAAGCTATCGGTTTACTTTTTCTGAAACTTCGAGAAGAATATGAATGAAAGAATAATTTTGGAGAAAATGGGCGACTGGAAACATCTATTTATTTAGTCATTAAACCTGGGTGAAATGACCAGGAGTTGGTGGAACTCGGATAGTAAGGTTTTGATATGCTCAATTCTTAATATTCTTAACTTTCAGACTTGCTTGTTGGGGGATGTGTTATTTAGGATTATCAGTTGACTAGAAGGCCCTTGTATTTTATTGAAAGTTCTATTAGAACAATAAATTTGGAGGTTTCAGGAAATGTAACTAATATTCAACTCAGTTTTGATGCCTTCTTTGCTATGAAATCGTGCGGAATATTGGCAATAAGTTTAAAAATTGTGGAAGGGTTTTTATTCTTAAAGATTTTGAATAATTCATAGAAGCATGAGTATTTCTATTTGTCCTGGGTAGGAAAAATATGCGTTTGACATAAATTAGGAGCCAGTTAGGAATAAAAAAGGCAGTCTAAGTCAACTATTTTTCTTAATTAGATTGTTTACTATAAGAAAGATGTCAATGAACTTGTGCAAGGATTTTTCTGTTTGGCATGATCAGGTAATTTATAATCTTTTAGAACCCCAAATCAGAGAAATTAAGAATAAAGGTAAGATTTTGTTACAAATTTAGCAAAAAAGTGATATCAGTTGTTGGCTTAGAAATATTTTAAATGTAAACTTTTTACTCATTGTAAGGGTAACATGCAAACAGCTAAATCATATTAATCGATTCTAAAATCTTAGATTGGGTTTTCTAAATAAAGATTCATGAATCTCTATTTTTATATATTCACACTTTTATCTCGATTTCATAACAAGTTAGAGTTTCTAAATTTCGAAAAAAGCCTCACGAAAATTCAAACTATATTCCCACCTAATAACTTCTAGATGAAATCTGAGGTATTCTAATATTAATGATCCACTTGTTTGCAAAGAGCACTTGGCATATATTAAGCAAATCGGTAAATATTTCCATGAGAGAGTTCAACAACGGTTCTCCCTTCTTTTCCAACTAATGTGTACCTGTCCAGGTAAAATGAGTTATTATTAACTTTCAAATTCAAATGAATTTTGTATAGGAATATGGAAGACATCTAGTTATGAATCAATTCAGTAAACTAAATAACGCATTAGCATTTTAACAAGCATACAAATTGTCTATATGGTCAAAGATTTTATTATAGCATATTTAAGAAGGTATTTCTTTGTATATGAAAGTTCTCATGCGACTGGGTCCAAACCAAAGATAGAAAAATTATTGTTTTAATACCTTCAAACAAAAAAATAAGCTATGTCACGAAATCATTTGAATAAACATACTATAGTCACTCAAAATCTACTTTTTCTTATCCTACTCCCCTAAGCTTCTAAACCATTCCATCACACTCTAATACCATAACTTACAAATCTCTTTCACATATTACACACATTTTGTAGTTCTTAGGAGTATGTATGACTGGAGTTTAGCTTAAGAGGTTTTGGGAGGAGATGGAGCTGTCACCGCTTCCAGTTCTATACTAGTCCCATAAATCCTAGCACAGGCTGCCGGTCAACCACAGTTAGTTCTTTTACCAGTTGTGGCGAATTGGGCAAGGATAGGTACTTTAGGGAAAAGTTTTTGGTGAAAAATAAGAAAGAGAGGAATTTGGAAAATTATGAGGAAGTGAAAGTGATAAAATGTTCGCTTTGAAGAAAGGGGCTAAAAGTTTATGAGACTTGCTGAGTTAAGGATCATAGAGAGACTAAGTTTTTCTTCAATATTTGGTATATGTGTGATTAGTTATTGATTGTGAAAAATACATCATCAAAAATTTCTTATATGGAAAAATTAGGAAGGTTTTTGACATCTGAATTGATGATAAAACCGTGGAGTCAATGAGAGAAACCTGCTTCGTTCCAGATATCAAAATCTTCAACTGCTCATCTTGACTATACCATAAACTCTGGCTATCAAATATCTTCCTAATTTCCAGTCCAGAAAAATTTTTGAAATATTTTCGGCTATTAATTCTGAGTTTATGACATATTTAAGCCAATAATTTTTTAGAATCCTCAATATAGGGATGCATTAGATATTAAATCAGGTGGTTTCTTGGAAAACTTGAATGTGAAGGATGGGGAATTTGGTCATGTATTTCTTTTTCCTTCGTTCACCATTTTTTGGAGATATTTGTGTTGAATTTTGTTCAGCCTTTTTAATGTGGGCGATAATGTTAGCTTTGAACCTGAGAATATTTGGAGATAAGAATCTTCTGTTTTTATAGTTTGAAAGTTTCAGTTTTTTCTGAATTTTAGATATCAAATTTCGATAATCCTCATTGATAACTTCATACTTCTTTGCTTTCTCTAAGTCGGTCTCTTGTGGCCTTTGAAAGAAGTGAGGGCTTAGTTGGTCTCTATGTTGTGGGCTTACTGGCCTTAACTTTCTCTGAACCTTAGGACTCAGCACTCTTTTTCATTTATGGCTATCCTAAAAATTTAGGTAAATTTTAATTTAAAATTATCACAAAGTGTCAAAACCTTGCAAGTTTGAAAGAGTATGTACCTTGCGCTTTCTAATTGTTTGGATTATCTGATTCTGTAATACAAGGGAGATATTGTTCCTTCTTCTCCTACTTGACTCCATCATCGGCATTCTCTTGACAGCGATAGAGTTACATAGAGCCCTATATGACTCAATCGTGATTTTTTTATTTGTATTTTTCATATTTATTGTAATTGATTTGTCTCTTTGGACTTATATGGGGTTTTGGGGTTTTGGGGTTTTGGGGTTTTGGGG